GATAACTTTTGCCAAATCCCGTTGACCATATATGTCAATAAAATATGTTTAAAACAAAACAACTGTAATGACCGATCATCATGGATCGCCTGTCTGGACAGAAACCAGGAAATATAGTAAAAGGTAAAGGTACAACCACTTACACTTACTGTACCTTTACAGTCTAATCTTTAAAAAAATATCCTACCTTCGAAACTTCAGCCACGGGGCTTTCAGCTGTAAGGACCAGACGACCACCTTGATCAAGTTGTGAAGGGGGGATAACTCTTACTGTTGCTTTGATTTGTCTTTCAGTCAATTCGTGTCCCACGCCCGCTGATGACACCACCATTATTTGCGTTGACAAAGGGAGGCATATAGAAGTTCTTGTGATTTTTTAACTCTTTGAAATATTGAATGTTTACGACTTTACAATATGCCATGCAAAAGATTCATAATAGCGGATAAAAATGAAACCTTGACTATTGAATTTTAATCTGTTGATTAGTTGTTTCGAACACTCACTGTTAACATGTTGTGCTGTCACAACACTAAACCATTCAAAGACATTACTGTAAGGTTGATACTTGTGTGAGATTGAAAAGTCGGCACGTTTTTTCTCGTTACGATTATATTTGAATATGACCAGAAACCTACTCAATAAAATGAATACTGGCTGTCTTTCATCGTGGTATTGCGTAATACATACTGAAGTGACGCGTTGACTCTCTATACACAGTTGGGCGGTCGGGTAGCCTTGTGGTTAAAGCGTTCGCTCGTCACGCCGAAGACCCGGGTTCGATTCCCGACATGGGTACAATGTGTGAAGCCCATTTCTGGTGTCCCACGCCGTGATATTGCTGGAATATTGCTAAAAGCGGCGTAAAACTATACTCACTCACTCACTCACTCTATACACAGTCGTGGTATTGGTAGATGTTGCAGTAGTAGTCGTGGTTCTAGACATTAACTAGCCGCAATTGTTAAGTTGTAGATGTCGTGGTAGGTGTTGTGGTTGTCATGGTTGTTGATTATTAGATTGTTGTGTAGCAGATGGCGTTGGATACAGCGATGTCAGCGTGGAGAAAAAGTGAAACCGACTGGACAGCCGCTTTGTGCTCCTGGCATTTTGAGGCATGTGTTTTTGAGAGAGATTCAGACAATCTAAAACAGCTAGGTTACGAAAAAAATGTTTGAATTCATCGTTTAAAATAATCCATGACTAACTGCCATCGTGCAAACATTTCAAAGGACAATGCAAATGGATCAGATAACATGCTAAGGCAATATTCATGGCATAGTTTTTGCGTAGACGCATTCTCATATTCAGTCCATGGCCTTGCATACTTGAAACCCTTGTATGTGTTCAGGAAAGGATTCTCTTAATTTATTCACAGACGATGCAGGATGCACTTCACTACACTTTAGTGAGTGAGTGAGTTTGGTTTTACGCCGCTGTTAGCAATATTCCAGCAATATCACGGCGGGGGACACCAGAAATGGGCTTGACATATTGTACCCACGTCGCGAATCGAACCCGGGTCTTCGGCGTGACGAGCGAACTCTTTAACCACAAGGCTACCCGACCGCCCCCATTACATTTCAGGACGTCTTTGGTTGAGAATCTTCTGCCTGTATCAGTAAGCCCTGAAATTGAAGTTCTCATTTTAAAATTATATAAAACAGATTAATCCTCACCCCAATGTACATCATATACATCTTTTCAAATAAAGAACAGGATTACTGATATAAATAAAGACGTGTTTGCCACTGATTTTAAATTTGTTTTTTAAAATCATGTACATGTATTGCCTTTGGAATGAGTATTCGATAAATGACAATGTGAAAAAAGTGTTTGTGTGTTGATTGGATACGGATATTTGTTTATTATCGATCATTAATGATCTGAGGCGGATCCAGGTTTTTAAAACGAACTGTTTTTACCCTCAGTGGGTGGGGAGGGGTAGTTTTTACAGGGTGTATAAATCTAGAATACGTTATTGTATGACAGAAAGCTGTTTTAGGTTAGACAAGTGTGAACGTGGTGTACATTAATAGAGATTATAATGTGACAGGTATTTGTTTTAGTGTAATATTGTCAGTATTCATTTATTTGTTGTTAAATTTGTCTATGTTTATTTCATTCTAGGTTTGTACAAGAATAACTCTCACGATTTTGTTTTATTAGATAAACATCCATTTTATTAGGACAAGTCAGGTTGACGTTTAATACCAGATATTGTTCCCTCGTCTGCACGTGTTGACATCTGATAGATCTACCTCGCTTTCCTCGCTGTTGTAGATACTATTTTGACTAACCACTGGCTCATATTGATACGGAAGAATATGTTTCAGGTGAAGCCATGGCGAACGCTAGTAATCTACCACACACTAGACAGAAACAATGATCGTCTGCAAGTCAACGCTCCATTATGACGTCAGGTCACGTGATAACACCTTTCTCATTAAGTCTTCGCAGTTTCCGGAATACGAGTAGGTTTTTTAAATGTTCGCTACTTTGATATTGACTTTAGAAAAAAAACCCTCTTCTTCAAGATACTTGTTTTAATACTCTTTATAAATGATTTAATTCAATAGTTTTACTGGTAGTGTACACCTCATTTAATGTTAATGATGACAGACCATGGGATAACAAGTTCATTTGTCTATTAGTGATGTTTTTTTTCTAAATATATGTCTCATGCATGTAATGTTGTAGCCTTTCTAAAAAATGCAATCATTTTAAATTCTATTTTTTAGATGTCATGTATATACACTGTATGAGGACACTTTGCTGGCAAAATAGTTATAATGGCTTCAACATGTGTGTCAATAAGTTACTAGGAATGGCTCTATGAGTTTCCCAGTTATTTTCATGCTGACCAGAAAGGATATTTTGCAATACCGAGTATTACATATGGTAGTTTTTCCTTAAAATCATAAGAAAAAGAATAGGGTGGTGGGTGAATCAAAGGAACGTTAAAGAAATATTTTTCACGAATTTCTACATGTCATATCTACATGTTATTATCACACTTATATTCCCATCCAGGAGTGGCATACCGCATACCATCTTTAAAATATATAGAATATAGAGAATAATTTTATTTTCATTTGGCTTTTGATATTTTTAAGACAAACACTGTGTCCAGGAGTGGACAAGGTAGTTATTAAAGAGAAGATTTACTGTATTATTAAACATGTCATCACCTCACGAGCTGGATAGTCATATTTAAGGCTATGGTATAAGACAATCAAATAATACATTTGGGAGTGATGTCATGGTTAGAAATTACAAAAAAATTAGCAATACAACTATTTGTATACGAATTTGCACTTATTCATTAGCGATCTGAATAAAAAGAAGAAATTGTATTCCGTTTTAGTTCCGCCTTACCGCTTTTTATACGCTGCTATATTTAGCGACAAACAAACAAACATATTGATCGAATTGACCCATGCGACTATTTTGGACTTACTCCACGTTTGGTCAACAGGCATCGATACTTATCCAAGGGACCATTAGAAAACTGAATGTAAGTCATATTCTTTTTTTTTAGTTTGGTTTGTTGTTTAACGCCACACTCAGCAATATTCCAGCTATATGACGGCGGTCTGTAAATAATCGAGTCTGGACCAGACAATCCAGTGATTGACATCATGAGCATCGATCCACGCAATTGGGATACGATGACATGCATCAACCAAGTCAGCTGGGCGGGAGGGAATAGCATGTGCTTCAGGGACTGTGAGACAGACTGGTGTGAGTGCTTACAGTTTTTCATTGTCTGTTTACCGTATTGTCTGCCAAATGAGATCATCGGTGTATGTTTACCCTGTGATAAAATAATCCACGTATTTTCAATCCCGTCTGCCTCTATGCCGATCACCTCGCATCATATTACGTTATTGTCCTCAAGTACCTACTAACGAAGTACATTTTACGCGTGTTGCCTTGATCCTCATATTGATAAGTAAACCGTGCATGGTCCAACTGATCATTCATAATTTATGTGAATCACATCCGTCTCCAGATAATGCCTTGAAAACTGTGTTCATAGAAAAGAAAATATAACAATAAAATGCCTCTTATCGCACATTTTTGAAAGATCTAATCTATTAAATCTAATACTTTATTTAGTGTAGCCCTGTGGACACACTGTCCTAGTTTTATGGGACAACTTAGCACGCACCTGACTGTAGGCGAATTTATTTGACAAGTTGGAGTACAGCCAAGCCACATTTCACGTTGGACAAGTTGAGACGACAAGCTAGACAAGTGTAAAGATCGCATACGACTTAAAGAATCCCCGCGAGTCTAGGCTAAATATTTAACAATACTTATATAACTATTATGAGTAAAAAAGGTTGTATATTCAGTTCTCGACGTCGATCTTTTTTGTTCAACATTATCATATTTCTAAACTAAATACATATGCAAGAAGCATAACGTGTCGTGTATGTATTAAATTTGTTTTTTATAAACAATTCTGGGGTTAATTCATCTATCAATAATTGTGCAGTAACTCTCTTTTTCCTTTTGGTAAATTACCTCCATATAGTTTTCATTTCTCTTTAGATGTTTGAATTATATGAAACAATACTTTTCCCCAACATGTCCTTGTAGTGTATATATTCCTCATCTATCGGTTATGCATCTGTTAGCTGCTTAACTTGGTGTCGATATTCGTCAGTCAACGCCCACAAGGAAAATTGTAGAACATAAATTGTTGACGCAACAGTAAAATCGCTGTACAGAACTGATATTTCTTGACTTAAATATTCCCCAACCATTAAACAACAAACCAACCAACCATATGCCCCCAACAAGGGCATAATACCCTCATTATACAGCGCACCGCCTTTAATCGCCAGCTGACAAAGCGAGGTAGGTAGGCCTGTCAGAGTATCTGCATTTCCGGCTGTAATTAGCACCTGCCTAACGCGATCATGAGAAATAATCCCTTCTGAATGTCAGTCAATACCGTCGCTAGGCAACGGAGGCCATTTCTAAACATTGCCTACTGGGTAGATAGTTATCGACCGCGACCAGAAGACAATTGCACTGACAATACGGATTACCCATACATACTGACCTCGTGATGCGGTCGAGGTGTACCATGCATGTTTAAACACAAAGAAAACGAAAATGGCGTAAGGTGTGATTCGGGGGAAAGTTGAGGAGGAAAATGACACTGGAAGGTTCGAGTCGTGGGATGCTGACTTTGTGTGGAGTACTTGTGTTAGCGGCCGGGATAGCGACGTCTGTATCAGTTGGTAATGTCAGAAACACCATTATTTGTTCACGAGTGTTGCTTGTGTCTCGCCCTGTGATGTGACCTGTCTGTGACATATGCTCGCCCCTCACTCCCAAGACATAGAAACTGCTAGCGTGTATCCTGTAGAAAATCAATAGCCGTTGAGACGATGCCCACTGGATGACATTTATTGTACAAGCAAATTCCCCATGTTATAAGCTGGAGGTTTCACAGTTAACAGCGCTTGTGGAGACGCAGTGCTGTATAGTGTTGATTCAGGACGCGTTCCTTGCATGTTTACTCCTGTTTAATGCTCTGTTCTCATTGCACTTAGCAATGGGGCCGCTCTAACATTGGCGCACAGCCAATACCCAGGGGACTCTCGGCCCTGACTTCCCATTGACGTTTCAACCATGTGTTTAGGCATGGGAGATTCTCTCGACCCTGTCACATTTCACGTCGATGTTAATATCATATTTTTTAAGCAGGAGAGACATTCTCGGCCCTGGGTTAACGTTGACGTTTACGCCATGTTGTTTACGAGGTAGTGGTGGTGGGTGGGGGTTGATGTTGGGGAGGGGGGAGGGGGGCTGCTGTCGGACCCTACTTCACATTTTCACACTGGCGTTTATATCATGTTGTTTAAGAGGTAGTGGTGGGGTGGGGGTGCTGTCGGACCCTTCTTCACATTTTCACACTGGCGTTTACATCATGTTGTTTAAGCAGGGAATACCTCTCGACTGTGTTAGTACTTATGTCACATGTATTACCAATTATAGCATTATGTGTCAGTTCTTGTGATCAATATATTACCATACAATATTATGTGTTAGTTCGTAGGACAAATACATGTTAGTTCTTGTGGTACATGTATTACCAGATCAACGGTACGGTAGATATCTCAATGTGGTAGATACCCACCTATTTTGACTCGCTACAACGGGTTAAGGAGGTGAACATCACGCGTGGTATACAGAGCCCAGTCCCTATAGCCCCCAGCCAACATGACCCGTGAAGATCCGGGGTAGAATAGGTCCTCAGCAACCCATGCTTGCCGTAAAAGGCGACTATGCTTGTCGCAAAAGGCGACTAACGGGATCGGGTGTTCAGGCTCGCTGACTTGGTTGATGCATGTCATCGATCCCAATCATGGATCGATGCTCATGATGTCAATCACTGGATTGTCGGGTCCAGACTCGAGTATTTACAGACTGCCGTCATATAGCTGGAATATTTCTGAGTGCAGCGTAAACAACCAACCAACCAACCAACCTAGCCAATACACTCTTTTCATTCACTGACACTCTCACTCACTCATTTACTTCCTTTGTTGTGGATGAAACACACTGGTTATATTTCGTGTTGAACTATGCCACCCCCTTTATCAGATTTAACGATTGACGAGTAAAGGAAAGTAATGACACTGTATTGGCATTTTGAAACTGTGTGTTTACATTACGGGGCAGTATGCCATTAAGCTGTGTACGACTCAAATTCAGGGGACATCTTTCTGGGTAAACCCATCCGGCTATCCTATTATATGCAGTTGAATGTAGATTTAGCTTATGTGCCTCTCCCGGTGGTACAAGTAAGGGACAATTCCTGGCTCGCCCTCTGGTCCACATGTCGTCAATTTGCACTCTACTGAATACATGATGTTCGATCGCCGTCAAATAACTCGTCCTTTACACAGTCCATTGTTCATTGCCCTATACACAGAATCCGCTGTTCACTCGCCCTATATACGGAATCTGTTGTTCACTCGCCCTATACACAGAATCTGTTGTTCACTCGACCTCTACAAAGAATCTGTTGTTCACTCGCCCTCTACAAGAAATCTGTTGTTCACTCGCCCTTACACAGAATCTGCTGTTCACTCGCCCTATACACGGAATCTGTTGTTCACTCGACCTCTACAAAGAATCTGTTGTTCACTCGACCTTACACAGAATCTGTTCACTCGCTCTCTACACGGAATCTGTTGTTCACTCGCCCTCAACACAGAATCTGTTGTCCACTCGCCCTCTACTCAGAATCTGTTGTCCACTCGCCCTATACACGGAATCTGTTGATCACTCGCCCTCTACAAAGAACCTGTTCACTCGCCCTTTACACAGAATCTGGTGTTCACTCGCCCTCAACACAGAACCTGTTGTTCACTCGCCCTCAACACAGAATCTGATGTCCACTCGCCCTCTACAAAAAAAACTGTTCACTCGCCCTCTACACAGAATCTGTTGTCCACTCGCCCTCTACACATAATCTGTTGTCCACTCGCCCTCTACACAGTATCTGTTGTTCACCCTCCCTCCTACATAGAATCTGTTATCCCTTGCCCTATACACAGAATACATCACACACCCGCTTTATAAAATATTGCATTGTTTTTTTTCAGATTATTTCCCTGCAAAATGCGACAGCAGCGTCATTGTCGACACCAGCAGCCAGCTGGAGAGCAGCGTCGGTCTGCACTACGCCAGCGACGTATCTTGTACATACACCGTCACAGTCGCAGCTAACAAGAGGGTTCTAGCTAAATTTCAAAGATTTGACTTTGAGAAAGAACATAATGGATCATGTGTAGATTATATAAATTTGTTTGACGGAAGTGACGTCCATCAAACTAAACTAAATGCGAAACCTCTTTGTGGCACCATTTTACCTGGCAACACCATATCCAGCCGCAACACCATCACGGCGTCTTTCGTCACGGACAGTTCCGGGACTGCCCGAGGATTCGCCTTGTTGTTCACGGCAATATATAATGGTAAGTGCGGATTATATCTCGTACTAGAAAATAAAGTCTGCATCAGTAGTAAAGCAATAACAAATATGAACGCAAGAAATGAAGTGTTTTAGTTCTAGACGGCGCCATTGGCCTTTCACGTGTCTCACGTAGTCGATGTTCTCACACACAGGGACATGTGCATCCGGGGACTTCTCCTGCAACAACTCGCTCTGTATCGCTAATGACCTTCAATGCAATGGCCTTGACCAATGTGGAGATAACTCCGACGAAGCAGCATGCACAGGTAAGTTCGTGTGTCCTTTTCAATGTGCGGAGTGTAGAATAAAATTAAATAAACTTTATTTCACTCCAGATCGTGACATGGCATAATAAGGTAGAATTAATTGAGCAAAATGTTTTTGGATAATCGACGGCATCTTCCCGAGGCAAAGGAGTAACCTGACTATAAAAGTCCAGTTTCCACCCTTGCCGAACTAGGCTGGTATTATGGAGTTACGTTTTGTCTGGACTAACGAGTCTATGCATAGTCCAATCAAAATCGCGCACCGAAATCCAAATCCGGTTCGTAAACTGTCGTGCAGATTTTGATCGATTGCAGGGTTTGCAAAGCATGTGCATCGCCAATTCGTTGTCAGCAGATATTTTCCAAATCCTTTCATGTTTTTAATCAAGGTGCTCACGTGATTTGATGCTTTTCGCGATGTAAGACCCGTTTTATCACAATATAGATCTTGATTATCGATCAGATCGTCCTGACTGGGCGCCACCATTTTGTGTGAAGCAAACGCAAGTGATACGAGAGGTGGAATCTGATTGGTCCATAGGAGAGGCTTAGAAGGGACATAATTGGTAATAGCCACTGGTGGCGCAACGATCGAGCCCAGTAATTCCAGCCTAGTTCGGCAAGGGTGGAAACTGGACTTTTAAAGTCAGTTAACTCCCTTGCCTCGGGAAGATGAATCGACGGGGGAGGTTCTGTACATTAACCGTCTTGCTACATCCCAAGAACGGAGTAGATACCTTCCCGTGTGAGCACATTGACAGTCTATTACTCCATGAAGATTCGGGTTAGAATTGGTCAGACGCAACCCCTTCTTCCCGAGGTAAGGGTGGTAACTTACTACAAAAGCCCACTTTCCACCCTTGCCGAACTTGACTGGAATTCCGCCGGAGTTACGTTTTGGCTGAACTAACGATTCTATGCATAGTCAAATCAAAATCGCGTAGACATCCGGTTCGTAAACAACGTGGATTTCAACGTGCAGATTTCGTTTGAATGAAGGATTTGCAAAGCAATTGTACCGCCAAATGTGGGTAGAAAGGTATTTTGCAAATATGTTCATGTTTTTAATCAAGTTGCCCAAGTATATTGATTCATTTCGCGCGGTTAGGCTCGTTTTATTAAAATATAGATCTTGATTATCGATCACATCGTCCTGCATGGGTACCAACGTTTTGTTTGAAGCAATTGCAAGTGATATGAGAGTGGAATCTGATTGGTCAATAGAAGGGACATAACTCGTAATAACCACCGGAGGCGCTACGATCGAGCCTGGAAATTGAAGCCTAGTTCGACAAGGGTGGAAACTGGATTTTTATAGTCAGTAAACGCCCTTGCCTCGAGAAGATGCAACCCATGTTTATCGTAAGAGGCTACTAACCTGATCTGGCCCAGACTCGATTATTTACAGACCGCCGTCATATGGCTGGAATATTGTTGAGTGCGGCGTTAAACAACAAACAAGCAAAATTACACACCACCATCACTCTATCTAGCCCGACCCAACCACCCACGACAACTCCTTACACCAATCTCCCAACCCCAGTCCTCCAATCAACCTCACATGGACAATATCATCTACACGTCACCGACAACCCATAATAACAAATCACCTAACCAGATCTATAATTCATGTTAGCTAGACCTGTTCTTTGTAGTCGACGTGCCGGGGCTAATTGCAAAATCATCGATCTACCTGTGCTGATGTATGTCTGTCAGGGTGTACCTTGTAAGGAACAAAGGATATTCTATGTGCAACATACACACGAATACAGAATAGACACACAGTATAAATACAGGACACACAGTAGACAAATGTAAAACATGTACACCCATGTCAAACAATAAAAGTGTACATACATTTACAAATGCAAGACCAACACACGTATTGAAATAGTATTGGTATAATATTAAAAATACCAGATGTATTGAACTTGTGTTTCGACTAACTCACGCTGTCAAGAGCTACATCGCCAATAGCCGCTCTCCCCTTAGACTGACATGTAGTATCTGAAATGAATATTTAACAGGAAAAAACAGTTGTTAAATTATAGTTATAAAATATAAAAAGAGCCCAGAGACTTTCTTCATTTTCAGATACTGATACTGCAGTAATCTAGACTTGCCAGACTTATAGACTTGCATTGGGATGTATTGGATATATTGGATATATTTGTTTCAGGGTCTGTATGACCGAGTACTCTCCCCGAACAGTCTCAATCTGACGACCGCCTCCGTGGTAGAGCGTCCGCGGTAGAGCGTCCGCCCGGAGAGCGGAAGGTCCGGGGTTCGATCCCCAGCCGCGTCGTACCAAAAGACGTTAAAAGATGGTACTTGTTGTTACCCTGTCTGGCGCTCGGCATTAAGGGGCTAAAACAAGGACTGGTCGGCTCGGAGTCAGTATACTGTGTCTGAGTCGAATATTCATGTTAAACTGTGGCATGGTATCTCAGTGTGCTAGCACTATAAATCGGCATCAGTCCGGACTAGTACAAGCAGACACACACACACACACACACACACACATACACGTCGCTATATAAGTGCAATAATCTTGGACGCGACGTTAAACCCCATTTCACTTCACCTCAATCTGACATTGAATTAATGATGGTTAACGTAACCACAGTGAATTCATTATATCACATTTATTACCAGACGCTAGGGTGTATTGTCGGGGTTTGTGATTGATTGAGTTTATCCCGCGTTTAGTATTTTGCCGACAACATCAAAGCGGGGGCCCATTGTTTCCGTTTGCGGAACCGAACCCGTGATTTCTAGGCGGGACGAGTGAGTCCGTTACACACTAGGCTTTCCTACCGTTGTTTGTTAACGTCTAACTGTGTATGTGCTTCAGCTGAAGACCTGCTCCTGAGGTACGGAAAGGACCACGCCCCGCTGATTGCCGGTGTGGTACTCGGGGTGCTGGCCGTTGCTGTGATTGGCGTCCTGGTGGCCATGTACATCTACAAACGCAACAAATGGAGACGCTTTCTCAGTGACAATGATGCGGAGGATGAAAGCATTTGGGAAATCGAGTCTGCCTACCCCGTCACCCAGAAGTACTTCAAAGGAAACCGAGGACGACCCAATTATAATACCTTGCAAGAGTATGCAGAAACTGATCACGTCACAGCAGAAACTAATGACATCAGTCCACGAGGTGCAAGTGACGTCAGTGATGCTTCAACCTCCAAACTGACATCGACTGCATGATACCTATAGCTGCATCGAATTTTGACTTGGCTTTTTAATAGGTGGTGGTTATACATATGTGTAAGTTTTACGATGGCATTTATTCAAAACCTTGACATTCCGAACCCTCTACATTCCGGACACCTGCAGATAAAGACATACAGCTGGAAAGCCCGCTAGTTTCATCGATGTAGATCTACTTAATCTAGACGAAGGAAACTGACCGCATTACGAGGTTACCAAATATCGATGTCCCATCAATTAATTCGTCTTCATGAATCCCATGAGCAAATTAGTTCTTTGGTATTGCATGCTAAATATGTTCTGAAACGGAACTTTCACAAAAAGCAAGAAACTCGTACGTGGAAACCTGGTGAAAACGTATATATGTGGAACCGCCCATATATGAGAAAACAACTTGTCACTGTCCAGTCGAGACTCCCGTTATACCGAAACCCCGCTTTGGGGGCGCGTGTGTTAGGAACGTCTTCCTGTTCACATTACCAACCCTCGATTATCCAGACATTTCTATCTCCACTCTGATATGATAATAGCTAGGAGATATAATAAACTGGCTGATCGAGGATAGACATTGCCATGTAACAAGGATTCGTTCATCCGGATAACTGTTAATCCCTACGATTTCACCTGGGAAGCACATTCCAGATTAACGGGGTTTCGCTGTATATTCAACACATTTTCCGCAAGACCAAGGTGCGTTAAATAGCCAACTACCAATGACCATTACGAAAGCTGCTGCTATCCATAACATCGATTTTGACAAAAACTTGCATTAATCAAAATATTGTTGACGTATTATTCAATATCAGGTGATGGATGCAATTTGAGTTGTACTTGCATGTTACACGTGTTTTATTTAAGGCTTGTCATATGTTGTTTTGTTCCTTCATATGAATCTATCTTTTTATGTGTAATTTGAATGTGTTATCTAATTCCTTTACAATTATACATTTTGTCCATGTAGATATATATCTATTGTTTCGCGGGCGAAACTACACCAATTCGAATTATTTATTTGACCAATTATCTTGATATGTATTTATTCTCTTATAGGAAACGTTCAATGCCCATTTTGATTTGCAAAAATAAATGACTTGTATAAAAACTGCCGATTTGTTACACGATAAAGATGTAAAACAGTATGGCATTCTGTTGTGCGTTCTACCCCGACCTGGGGCGGTCGGGTAGCCTAGTGGTTAAAGCGTTCGCTCGTCACGCCGAAGACCCGGGTTCGATTCCCGACATGGGTACAATGTGTGAAGCCCATTTCTGGTGTCCCCCGCCGTGATATTGCTGGAATATTGCTAAAAGCGGCGTAAAACCATACTCACTCACTCTACCCCGACCTGGTCCAGCCAGGCCCGGAGACTAACATGAGGACAATGTGTAGACAATATGTTGATTGTCCGAACACGTGTTTGGACATTTGTTGACTTGTTGATCGTGTGTTGACTGGTTGATCGTGTGTTGACGTGTTGACTGGCTGATCGTGTTCTGACTAGTTGATCCACACGAATACAAACATACCTTTAATAAAAAAACAAAGTGGCGCTTTCACATCAATCATATTCCAATAAACTTAAAAAATAATCTTCTGAAGTCAAACAATATGAGAGGAGTTTGGTTACTATAGTATTGAGTGAGTGGGTTGGGTTTTAACGCCGCTTTCAACATTATTCCAGTTATCACAGCGTGTAAGCTTAATGTGGGAGGAAAGCCGTCATATAGCTGGAATATTGCTGAGTGCGGCGTTAAACAACAAACTGCAGTAGTAACCCTCAGATATGACAAAAGACCACCTCCGTGGTCTAGTGGTAGAGCGGCCGCCCGGAGAGCGGAAGGTCCGGGGTTCGATCCCCGGCCGCGTCATACCAAAAGACGTTAAAAGATGGTACTTGATGTTACCCTGTCTGGCGCTCGGCATTAAGGGGCTTAAACAAGGACTGGTCGGCTCGGAGTCAGTATACCTAAATTATTTATATTACTTAAACATTTATCCACTTAATGAATCAAAACGAATCCATCGACACATGCTAAATGATAAACAAGGTGTTTTCAGGAAAGAATTCTAACCTTGATATTTCTCGCTGACTTTGTTGATGCATGTCATCGTATCCTAATTGTTCATGATGTCAATCACTCGATTGTCTGGTCCAGACTCGATTATTTACAGACCGCCGTCATATAGCTGGAATATTGAGTCCGACGTTAAACAACAAACAAACAAACCTATGATTGTCAGTTCGAATCCCGGTTTCCCTGGTTGTGTTCCTTTTGTCACCACCTTCTACCATGACCGTGGAAAATTCTTCATGCTTTATAATCCAAATCTGGTACCTGATCCCATTCAAAATTAACGTACCTTTTCAATCAAAAACTTGTGTATCAAAACATCGATCTATCGATATCCTACGCATTGATGCACGTAACGATGTCTGCTGATAAGGCTTTAGAATTGTATACGTTCAATATCGGAATATTATCAGACATGGAAAGCAGAGGAACGGAAGTCAGGCTCAGCCAGTTCAAAGTTAGGAGAGGAAAGACAGTCATTCTTCATATGTAATACTGATGGTGAGTCATTTCAACCAACTGCTAGGGAAGTGCAACTTCAAAATACCTAAAATCCTCTTATTTAATAAAGTTTGTAGGAGAAATTACTTCGGCATTTCATTTCATTATTTCTAAGACCTGTCACACCTACAATGGGCGATGCCATGTTGATCTCCAAGAATGAGTCAAAACAGTGTAAATATATGCAACAGGTTGCGATGACAATAAATATATATCTCCGGAGAGTTATTCAATCGATTCTTGTTTAAAAACTATGTATCTTGTAACCGTTATTTTGAACTAGTCAAGAATATAGTAAGTAATTTGAACTTGAGTAAGACATGTATGTTGTGTTTGTCACTAGACCTGTTCTGGGCCGCCTCCGTGATCTAGTGGAAGAGGTTCGATCCCCGGTCACGCCATACCAAAAGATGTTAAAAGATGGTACTTTCCCAGCAGTATTTAATAAACTATTTATCGGGAGCATAATCAAACATACAATCAACACCAAATCCTTGACATATGCGTAATTTCCATAAAAAGAATTATCAATTTTGTTTCAACTCAGCCAACAAACTATTCATTCACGATTCATAACGTCTCACAAGAGCGGAAGGCCCGGGGTTCGATCCCCGGCCGCGTCATACCAAAAAACGTTAAAATATGGTACTTGTTGTTACCCTATCTGGCGCTCGGCATTAAGGGGCTGAAACAAGGACTGGTCGGCTCAGTATACTGTGTCTGAGTGGGGTATTCATGTTAAACTGCGGCATGGTATCTCAGTCCGGACTAGTACAAGCAGACACACACACACACACACACACACATACACACACACACACACACACACACACACACGTGCATGCACGGCGCTATATAAGTGCAATAATCTTGGACGCGACGTAAAACCCCACTTCACCTCACCTCTACGTGTTCTAAAATAACTTGCTAGATGGCCCATGTGTAGTTACGCGTTGCAAGAGAGCACAGTTTTCAAAGCCTCTTGGCGCCATGTTAGGATGGGGAAATCTCGGGAAAATTTGGGGTGCGATATCGCTCGGTTCTAAATTAAAGAAAGAGGCATCTAATCTACAGTTAGGCTTCCCCAAACTTCAAAACTCAGAAGTAGGAACATCTGAATACCCGTGCTTGTGGATCACAGGAAAGTGATAAACCTGCATCAGTTCTGGCTTTCCTTCCGCATGTTATAACTGACGAATTTTCAAAGCGGCTTTAACCACAACCAAGTCACTCATACATGATCAATACTGCCAGACTAACAGGGGAAATGGTAGTAGGTACTCCGGATGGTAGTATTTATCATGGATATTTGTGATCACGTTGGATAAATAGATAGTCATTGAATGTATGCTATTCATAGATTTGTGATAGTCGTTCTAGTCAATGAGTGAGTATGGTTTTACGCCGCTTTTAGCTACATTCCAGCAAAATCACGCCGGTGAACGGGACCGACCGTTTGATATTCAGGGGGGGGGGGGAGCCTGGGATATTGTATGAAAACTGGATATTTTTTACAGCAACAAAGCCATATATTGTTTTGACTAAAATTATTGGCCTACATATTACTTTCTCAAAAAGACCTTACGACAATTTTTGTGGCATTATGTTTTAGGGCATTATATATGCGTTTTATATACGGAGTGTGGTCATGGTGCTGAAGAGATGAGCTGGGATATTTGATCATGAATACAGATAATAACAATTAAAAGCAATCATGACAAAGACAATATTGACTTTAAGTGGCCAAAGGACTTATAGAAATAGTCCATCACAATCACTCTAATTGTTGAGTTAAGTAAAGCAACATATCATATTTCTTAAGATTTACTTTCATTTACTTACGAATCTAGCCACATAATACACACCCGCTTGTCCGATATAGGTAAATGTGCATAGCTAAGAGTCATCTGATTTGTCGCAAATGCCAGGGTCAGTCGCGTGGCTTTGTGGTTAAAGCGTTCGGTCGTCACGCCTCAGTCCTGGTTCGAATCCCCACCTAGGTACAATAAATGCCCATTTCTTATGTGCCCCGCCGTGAAAATGGTTGTGTATTGCTAAAACGGCGTAAAACCATTCTCACTCACTCCCTTAAGAATCAAAGTATTCAGAATATTTAACAATGGCGTTAGGGGTAAAATGTCCCAAAACGCATTCCGTATTTATTAATATTATTAATCTGTGGAAAAATAAAACTATTCCATTTGAATAGCGAGACATTATCCTCCACCTTGAACATAACGTTTTACATAATGTAGACCTCAGTATCTCACCATCTCCAGTGAGTGTTCATAATGATAGGTGGTTGAGTGAGAGTCGGGTTTAACGCCGATTTGAACAGTGTTCCAGTTATATCACAACATGTCAGCTTAATGTGGGAGGAAGGCCCGGAGTGATGCAGGTCTTGGGTGTTTCCAGCAAGCGTTCGAGGTCCGATTTTTAGATATCGGATCTGGTCCTTAGACTTGACGACCTAGATTACACCGCCATACCGAGGCACCATTGAACTAGTAGTAATGTTCGTACAAGCAAGCATGTGAAGCAGACCCGTGAAAATCCGGGGTAGAGTAGGTCTTCAGCAACCCATTCTTGCCGTAAAAGGCGACTGTGCTTGTCGTAAGAGGCGACTAATGGGAACGGGTGGTCAGACTCGGTGACTTGGTTGATGCGTGTCATCGTATCTCAATTGCGTGGATTGATGCTCATGATGTCAGTCACTGGATTGTCTGGTCCAGACTCGATTATTAACAGACAGCGGTCCTATAGCTGGAATATTGCGGCGTGCGGCGTTAAACAACAATCCAACCAACAAACAAAATACACAGTATCCTGACTCGGAGTAGACCAGTCACTGTTTTAGCCCCTTCATTCCGAGCGGCGTTAAACAACAAACAAACAAAGCATGTGAAGCATCCCCACAGTGACTCATGCTACAATATGGGCCTACATGTCGCTGTGTATATCTCGTATTACCTCTTTGTTAAATACGAGAACTCATAGTAGAAAAAAGACACATAATAAAATTGTTTGAAATCTTGAAATACGGGCTGGTGGCAATTTCTTGTCAGTGTGAATAGGCGATAGTTTTAGTGAGACACCCCCCGTTGTTACTGGATTGAAATCAGCAATTATTTAGGAGTTCGCATATACGTAACTTGCTCGTGATTGCTTGAATAAGTAATATGCTCGGGATTAATGTGTTCCTTGGCGGATCTAAACGGCCCCCTCGAAGCGTTTATTATAAATAAATTCCATCACTTTTTGTATTAGCACTGCAGAATAAAGAGTGGTTCTACATAAGTTGGGATTCGAAACAAAAACCTTACCCACGGCATTTAAAAAATTCTCTCTCGCTCGGGAAGAACCTGAGTTTAGACACTTGTGTCGTAAACAGTATGACGAACACGAACATAATATCCTCTATATTGTCCATAACTAATCATTTTGTTTCTCGCTGCCATGCTCGCTGTGTGAAAACAACGTAGATATGTCACGGGCGTTTCTGTTTTTGATTCACGTTTAGCACCTTACGAATGATGTAACACAACACATCTCCACGTCACACAGGA